TCTGTACTCTGATTACTCTGTACTGTAACTCAACCTGCTCATCAGGAATATTGAATATGAAAACTGTCTCTCTCTCTGTGTGTGTGTGTGTGTGTCTCTGTGTGTGTGTGTGTGTGTGTCTCTGTTGTGTGTGTCTCTGTGTGTGTGTGTGTGTGTGTGTGTGTGTGTGTCATCACAGGTGTCACAGTTCTGTTTTCAGACACTTCACCGGAGTCGCAGACGCTGTACATTGCTCAGCTCCAGCAGTCATTTTGTTTGTTGTTTTTTTATTTATTTTTTTGTTTGTTTGTGCGTCATTTGAGACGGACCTGATTTGAATTTTCATGGCTGTGGTTCCTTTTGTGTCACGATTCCCACAAGCACCTGCATGAGATGTCCGGGATTGGTTTGTGGATTTGTTGTTTAATGGTGGGGGGGGAAATTACCTCCTGTCTTTGAACACATGGGTGTATTTAATTCTCACATTCATAATCCTTTTTTTATACTGCGCGCAAGACGGAGATAATAGAGCTTTACCGTACGCGCTTACCGCAGTTTGCCGCTCTGTCAGGCATCCCACCGGGGGCGTTTGCATTAATGCAGTAATCTGCAGACGACATGCTCTTGAGACGAGTGTGATTGATCTTTGTTTTATGTGTGGCGGCATTTTCATGTACAGTAGCAGAGATGCAGGCACGGAGTGATATCTGCGTCTCATATGGCCTGAGGGGAATGTTTGTTCCCTTGTCCGGCCACTGTAGCTCTACTAAACACCCTTCCTCTATGACACATTTCGGCCACTTCTTCCCCTTTTTTCTTCGCCGTAATTGGCATCCCATAAGCCCTTCAATTTCAGCAGCTCGGTGAGGTGTGAGTGTGTGTTTTGGAAATTAAATTTGTGTTGTGATGTTTGCAGTAATATTAGCTCTGTGTGTGTGGCGTGTGGCTGTTTATCATATGGGACGATGAATTGGTGAACAGTTCTCTTCACTGGGGAGCTGAGCGTCCCTGCAGAGGAAAGGTAATTAAAATGTTGTGTGCTCAGCTGAAAACATGCCTGTATCTCTGAGGCAGCTGGGGAACTGTGTGAGACACTAAGTACCAAACACTTCTTTGGATAATTAAAATCACAGTTTTACACCTTTTTTTTTTATTATTTATACATTTCTTATTATATTTATTAACTTTTACCTTTTTTTTTTTTAAGGCTGTGATGGCATCGTACTGCGTCACATAGCGTCAGTCTCACACAAATCAAATGGTCCATATGAGAGTCAGCCAGTCTGATGCAGCAGGAGTGTCTAACCCCGGGATGTTTAAGCTGTCAATAATCTCATTGCCGAGAGGATCCAGTTGATTAATCCAATTGCACTGTGACCCGGCTAAACCGGGCCTTAGGCACTTCTTCGCCGCGTTCGGTGACAGTGTATCTTCTAATGAGCTGCAGGTTAAAGTTAACACTTTTTGTGTGTGTGTGTTTGGCAGAGATTGGTTTAAATAGGTGGGGGGATTTAAGCGATTTAAGCGTAAAAAGCCCCAAAAATATATCTTTAAAAAAAAGAAAAAACTTGCTTCACTTGCAGTAGCAGTCAGTTGAAGAATAATTGCAACCTCTGTGAAAATGCAGTCAATATAGCTTAAAGTAACTGTAGTTAAAACTACAAAGATTGTTGTAATAAAATACATGAATGTGTGTTAAAGTGACCCTTTTTGAAGGATTTATTCCCTCATCAGATATGTCACCGGTCAGTGAATGTGAAGCAGAGCAAAAACAAACCTGTGACGAAATGAAAACATCATTTTACTGTGATTTGTGTTTTTTCTATTTTGGACAGCCATGACAACTGAAACACATTGAAACTAGAATGACCCCTTCAAGTATTCTCACACAGATAAATGAAGCTTCGTGTCAGAGAGCAAACCCTTTTATTCAACAGAAAATATGTGCAAATGTAATAAAAATATGCACGTGGTGTGTTTTATATGATACTAATCAGCAGCATTTAACTTTGGGTGTTATACTGAACCTACTTGTCTTTGATTTATGCTTGAAACAATTAACATCAGGTAACTCTAGTGTCATTTTTCTCTGTTTCAGGTGCTGGAGAGTCTGGAAAAAGTACGATCGTTAAACAGATGAAGTAAGTTTTGATGATCAACATCACATTTAACGACGCACCGACCGTGGCACACAGCTGTGTTTTAGTCCCTCTGAACTGACGTCAGACTGCATAGAGAACAAACGACACACTTATATATGCACCTCATCACCCGACACTTCCCCTGTGTGTGTGTCTGTGTGTGTCTGTGTTTGTCTGTGTGTGTGTGTGTGTGTTTGTGTGTGTGTGTCT